AAGCCTAATTGTTTATATCTTTTTGTAAGCTTTAATCAGGTTGTCATCAATCACCAAAAAGGGGGAGATTGAAAGTGCATCTAGCCCTTTAGTGAGTTTTGGGTGATTGAATGACAACACGATTAAAGGACTAACATGTTTGCTAAGTGTTAGACAGAAATTGATTATCTCACAGATACTTGATGAAATTGTATAAGCCAGCCAAAAATGATGTATTGTTGTATAAACAATCTAGTTCAAGCACAAGACAACAATGCAAATGGAATTCATGCAAAGGCTTATTTATTGTGGGATTTCAATGATCTATGTGAAAGCAAGCACGATAAGAGTTAATTAATGAGACATGAGAGATTGCATATGGAATGGTCTCATATTTGAAGCTTGCTAAATTGAAATGAAAAAGGCAACAATACAAATGAATGGTTGATTTAACACAAGATGTGACTTGACGGCTTGAGATGGTGAAGATAGCAAGAAAAGGCTTCGAGGTACTAAGCAAGGGTGAAGGGCAAGCGACGGCTTGATGGCCGAGGAACCTAGCTAGGGTGAAGAAGAAAGTACTTGCATTTAGTTGAGGTACTAATCAAGCTATGATGGTCATATTGATGTGGAGGATCAAATCTATATTGGACAAGTTGATTAAAGTGACTTGATGCATTTGGAGTTATTCATATTTGATGAATGGAATCAAGTCACGTGCTCAAGATGGCTATGCTCAAGTGACAAGATCAATATTGACATGTTGGCACCCTCACTTGATGAAGATTGAAAGACACGGCATCAATTTTAAAGAAGATCAACTCAAAAGGTTTAATTTTGTTTTTCTTTTGATCTTGAGTTAATAGGTATGCCGTACTATTAAGAGGGATGCAAGTTTAGGTGGTCTGAGGAAGATAGAGTGTTCAAGCATAATAAATAAAATCAAAAGAGAGACACTCTAGCACTTCACGAGCACATAGAATAATTTTTCATATCGTCGGTGTCGGAAGTCCCGACGTAAGCGGAACTCCCGACGATCGGAAGTCATGACTCTTCTTGCCGAATCTGCGACTCCCGGTCATAGCTCTGCTGGTGGTCTGTGGACGTCGAAGTCCCGACGTGAGTCGGAACTCCCGACGATCGGAAGTCCCGACCCAAGCCGGAGTCCGGCATCGATGGTTCTCTCGACTGTCTTTATGCGTGCCCGTCGGAAGTCCCCGGCGTTCGTCGAAAGTTCGACGCGTTGGGTCTCGAGTGGACTTTGACCTCGCATGAACAGTGTTTTCTTCATACGTCGAAAGTCCCGAGATCTGCGTCAGAACTTCCGACGTAGATCTGAACGGTTAGATTTTGCCTTGAAGTATATATACCCCTCTCCTTGTTTCTAACCGTTGCCCACTCATTTCATTGCGATGAACACTCGACCAAAACAGCCCCCAAGCATTCTAGGCTCGCCACTCTTCACTCCTTTGCTTCCAACTTCAATTCCTAAAGGGTTTGAGTGTTTGGAGAGTGGATTGAGAGAGAAAATCACTTTGAGCAAGCTTGAGCACTTGATTTCTTCGTCAAGCCGGTTTGATTTGCATTTGTTACTCTTGGGGATTTTCCCCTAGCCGGCTAGGCGTCGCCCAAGAGATTCCATCTTGTGGAAGAGCCTTGGGAAGTTTGTATTACCCTTGTTTTCTAGTGAAGAAACTCAAGTGACCTTTGTGGTATCTTTGAGTGAGGCAAGGAGGTGGAAGAGACTCCGACCAAAGTGGTCATCTCAACAACGAGGACGTAGGAGCTCCTTTGTGGGGCTGCCAAACCTCGGGATAAATTCTTGTCTCCCGCGTGCTTGTTGTTGTTGTGATTTGCTCGAAATTACTTGTATTTGGTTGTCTCCCTCTCTCTAGCTATTTCTTTGGGTTTGGGACTCGATCTACGGAGTGGTGGCTTATCAACATCAAGAGAGTGACCCAACACCTTAACTTACCACTAGGAAGTGGGTTTGTAAGTTATCGGCATCACAAAGTTCATTTTAGCACTTGTAGTTCATTTCCCATTGGGGTCGGAAGTTCTGACCCAAACGTCGGGACTTCTGACACGTCGGAAGTTCTGACCCAAACGTCGGGACTTTCGACATTAACTGACTAGTGCATTTTGATTCAACTCTTTGGTTGCAGCTGTTTGGCTCCCTAGGTTTATCTAGTATCTTTTATATACTTTGTGGATATCTTGTGAGGGGTGGTATTACTCTTATTTAGAGTTTCCATTTTGGAAACTCCTATTACTAATCGTTTCCGCTCTTAAAGGGGTTGATTTTTCAGAAACGCCTATTCACCCCCCCTCTAGGCGGCATCCTAGGTCCTTTCAGAGGCTCTATGGGCACATCGCATTTCAAGGCATGATGCTACAAAGGTTACTCCTTTTGAGTTAGTATATGGTCAAGAGGCCGTGTTGTCTATCGAGGTGAATTTGGATGCATACAGGCTTGCTAAACAAAATGATCTATCAGCTGTTTTGTATCATGATTTAATGATGGATAACATCGATGAGGTGACTGACGTGAGATTAAAAGTTCTTAAGAAAATAGAGAAAGATAAAGCTCGAGTTGTCAAAGCATACAACAAGAAGGTCAAGAGCAAATCCTTCCAAGTGAGAGAATTAGTATGGAAAACCATACTACCATTGAATCGAAGAGCAATCAGTTTGGCAAGTGGTCACCAAATTAGGATGGTCCTTACAAAGTGATCAAAGTCATATTCAGTAACTCTTATTTGCTAGAGACATTACAAGGTGAACGTCTCAATAGAGCATTCAACAGGAAGTACTTGAAAAAGTATTTTCCAAGTGTTTGACAAGAAGCCTAAGTGCTCTCCAAGCAATGGCCGATACATGTATCGTCCTTAGAACAAAAATGGTCGATGTATACATCGCCCTTAGCCACTGAGCAGCCAATGAGATGGGTATCGTCGCCGTTTGGTTTTAATTTATTTGATTAAGTGTTTTCAGGTTTATGCATCATTCACCTGAAAACAGGGGGGCATATGTTGACAACCAAAATTGTCCATTTTGTGAAGTTGTCAAAATATGGAACAGACTTCACCATTGTGTTCCTCTCATCGAGACAGTCAAAAAACATATATGGAACGTCTAATTCGAAGTCCGGATGAAGGAGTTATGCCCTCGGAAAGATACTCCATTGTCGGGAGTTCCGACTCAAGTCGAGACTTTCGACTGTTGGAAGTTCCAATAGGTGTCGGGACTTCCGGGAAGCCTAAAGAAACATGCTCGGGAGTTTGGGGTTATCCCCATGTCGGGAGTTCCGACCCAAGTCAGGACTTCTGACAGACCTAACAAAAAACCCTGTTCGGATCTGGCATTTTGGATTCCGATCCGAACTGTTCTAAATTCGTGGAAAACTTGGAAAATAAGTCTTGGTGAGGTTTCCTAGTGGGATAAGACCACCCCCCCTCTATATATATGAGAGGATCATGGCCGATTGAATTCACATCTATCCGATCGACAAACAAATCAATCTACTACCTCTACTCCAACCCTTTTACCCTCTTCTCCAACCCCTATGTTGTTCATCTCTTAATCTGACGACCAAGGATGGCGCCCTAGGCTTGTCGGCCGACCTAGGGCAACCTAGCGACGTCCTTGCCCTGACAGGGTCCCTCCCAGGTGAGAGCTTCGACGGTTTCTTTGCTAGTTTGCCTAAAAACTAGCTGGTTCTTCGTCACGCAAGCACGTTGGTTATCCTTTGGTGGTTTGCTTGTAAACCTCTCCATTCTTCACCACGAAAGCATGACATCCTCGCTACGTTCTTCGGTCCGTAGCGGCCTGGGCGTCCAAGGCCCTGTTGGTGTGTGATTCGGATCACTTCCGACGTCAACAGGAGCCTCGACCCCTCCTCCCACGCGAGCACCGAGTGATGGCTGTAGGTTGAAGGAGAAGCTGACGTGCGAGGCCCACGCATTAGCGAGTGGAGGAAGAGGGCCCACGTGTCAGCAAGTGGAGGAAGAGAGAAGCAGCGAGGATAAGCAGGTAATTTCGCATGCCCAATAGAGGTTCTCAGGGAGGCTGGTGCGTTAGCGTGCCCACGTGGCATGCCACGTCAGCAAAAATGGCAAATACGTAAGAGATTTACTGTTTTGGATGGCAATTTTGCATGTGCCATTCTAAAACTGGCAAATAGAGGAGTGCCATCCGTAAGGATGGCAAAAAGTTAAAAATCCCCGGTCAGACACTCAAGAGTCAAGGCAGAAACGGCTTTCGTTTGGCGGCCCAAGCGGCGTGGTTGGGCGGTGGGTGGCCGGGCAAGCGCGTCTGGGCCATTAGATGAGGATTGGAGGGCCAGATGAGGTTACTAAGCATGGTTTTTTTTATATATATAGCAGGTAACCATGTTTGTCCGTGAATGCAGATAGTGGAATGGAGTCATGAACCATCTTTTAGCATACCTAAATATCATTTTACTTATAAATATGCGGTCATAATTTCTGTTACACTTGTTATTTCGCTCATACTGAGTATCTTCCAACACGTGCTCAAGTAATGACAGCAACACCAAAGCACAAACAGAAAGACAGGCAGCCTTGAGTTCCAGACAGCTCCAACTAGTCATCCCTTCAACATGGCACGTAACGTAACACTATCTACTAGCTCAACAAGCACATCTCTGCAGGGCACGTTTGATGATCCACCTGACAACCAAACAACCGCACCAAACATAATTCCGAGGTTTCCTGAGTTTTGCATCAAACCAAGCAAGCCACAGCCCAGAAACGATAACAAGGTTTCACAGCACATGGAGCAACTGATACGGCTACAGTAGACGGGATAACATTGTTCTCAAGGATTTACATGGTTCCCATCAGGTCGAGGCAAAAAGGACGGGAAAGTGGCCGCTAAGGACTAAATGTTTGCCGCTACCGCCTCTCCAAATGAAGTCAGGGGAGTAACCGACGACTAGCAAGGGAATGCTCACTTGCTCAGAGCACAAGTCTGGAGTTTACATGCCGTAGTTTCACAGCCTAAATATCAGTCCGCGTTGAGTCTGGGTCCGCAGTCGCTTGCATAGCCTCACCTGGAGAAGATGGAGTCAGATCAGCTTCCGTAACTAGAAGCCCAGTATCGTCGGTTGGGTCTGGCTCAGGAGCCTCTCGCGGTGCTGCAGCTGGAGAAGCTGGAGCCAGATCAGTCTCCTTTCCTAGAAGCCCAGTATCGTCGGTTGGGTCTGGCCTGGGACTGTGGGCTCCTTCCAGAGCCACTGCAGGAGAACCCAGAGTCTCTTGTGGAACCTCTGCTGGAAGGGCTGGAGTGCCTTGCTCGGTCTCAGCTGCGGTAGACGGTGGAACCTCAGCCGGAGTGCCTGGTGCTGTCCCAACATCAGGTGGTGGTGCTTGCCTGCGACGAGGCCTTAAGTATTTCATGCAGAATGAGTCGACATCCTCTGTGTAGTTCTTCCTCACAAAATTCTCCAGGCACTTCAAGTAGGAGAAATCTGCTTGGGTTCCATCTGTGGAGACCACAAAAAAGCACCGAGTGTCCTGGAAAGTATGATGCTTGTTGACCTGTCAAAGCAAGGCAATTACAAACCAAGCTCCAAAATAAGACTTATTTTCACCATGGAATCTTTGATGGATGATCACGTGACGAAATGCAGAACCCAGAAGTCAAATGTAAAACCATACCATTATATGGTCGATTTCACCAGACACCTTGGATTGCTTTTCCGGGTGGTGCTCGAGAACTTTCTCCTGGATAAACTTTTCGTCTTCTGGCTTGAGCCTCACACCATCACTGAGAAAATTGAGATAGATAAAATTAGAATTCAAAATCATCATTGCATAAAACAATATAGCTGTCTTGCATATCGCATTCTTTCATGTAAAACATCAGTCACACTTTTCATTGTTTAATTAAAGAAACTTCAAGTACTAAGAAGCACGTAAAATCAGCAAGCGATTGTGAGTTAATTTACCATGCTTCACGGAAGATCCTTCTCACACGTAATATTATGGGTTCAACTTCTAGAAGAATGTTCTTCTCCTCTATTGTTAGTTCAAACCGTTGTCTTGGTGGAGGTGGACCTCTCTCATCTGGTCTTCTTGGGGGTCTCCCAGGATTGTTTCTTTGGCTGCTCCAGTTACCAGATTTGGCACCCCATCCATCTGCTTTCCAGTCCTTGTTACCAGAATCAGTTGTCTCTTTCCATTGAGCAGTACCTTGTGAGTTCTCAGCAGGCACAGCATTCCATCCATCCCAAGAATCTGATTGCTTAGCATCTGAATTGCCCACTGGTGTTGCAGCCAGATTACCCCAGGAGTCTTCTGTGGCAGAATTCGGGGTCTTATCCGCTACATTGTCCCAAGAATCATTCTGTGCATCATTCTTCTGGATTGTCACATTACTCCATGAATCTTGCTGTGAATCAGGATCCTTTATAGCTACTACTTTGTCCCATGAACCATCCTGAGTGTTGTTATTGCGAGTTGCACTGTTAACCCAGGAATCCTGTAGTGCATCAGTGTTATCCCATGGACTTTCATTAGATTTCCCTGTATTCCATGTGTCTGATTCTTTTGGGACTTTCAGATGCTCATCAGACTCCATCTTATCTTTCTCACCCCAACTGGATCCTGCATTAGACTTGGCATTTGGTCTTCCAATTCCATCTCCAGCATTCCAAGCATTGTCTGATGGTGGCATCACATTGTTATAGGAGGAATCATGATCAGCATTTGTCTTCTTCCGTTTGTAAGTGCTTGGCTGCTCTTCCCATTGGCAGTTACCATCTGCCTTCTTTTTGCCCCTGGCATTTCCCCACGTGTCCTGATCTACATTCAAACTCTGCCCATTCCAGTTGCTGGGATGCTCCCAATTGCCATGGCCATCATCAGACTTCTTCTCCCAGGCACCATCGCCTCCATCTCCTTTTCTTTTGTCCCATGTATTTTCTGATTTGCCCCATGGGTCATTTTTATTTGATGCCTCAGGAGTGCTGGACTTCTCCCAATTATCATCACCTGCATCTGAATCCATTTTAGCACCCTTATCAGCCCAAGTATCCATTTCAGCTGGTTGTCCAGATACAGTTGTCTCGCCTGTTGGCTTCTCAGCGCTCCAGCCTCCCCAATCAGTGGAATTGTCCTGCACCTTAGCATGCACTTCCCATGAATTATCTTGATCTGCTGGCTTTGCAGCCGCTCCACCTCCACTACTCCAGCCTCCCCAATCAGTGGAATTGGCCTGCACCTTAGCATGCACTTCCCATGAATTATCTTGATCTGCTGGCTTTGCAGCAGCTCCAACTCCATTACTCCAGCCTCCCCAGTCACCAGAATCATTTGCAGCACTAGCATTTTGTTCCCAACTTGAGTTCATTGTTGTGCCATTTTCCCATGAGCTGCCTTTTTGAATATTTTGCTCTTCGAAATTATCCTCAAAGGTGGGCTTACCAAGGGTCCCATCAGGCTCAGGAGATAAGCACATGTCATCTACTGCATTCTCTTCTACAAGGTAGTCAACATCATCCAAGAACATGTACCCTGTCTTTTCTTGGTCGGTTCTGACCAACGCTAAGAAATCATACAGCCCATCACCATACTCCTTGTTGCTTTTCAGCTGCAACAAAGAAATTAACCATTTTAGTGAAAAATCCATATGGTTAGATTATATCAACCAAAAGAAGAGCTTTCTGGTGACACCAAAAATAGTCTGGCCTGATAAGAGAGGCTCAACATTTGCTACTGATATAGTGATACATAAGCAATAAGCTCCAGTTGATAAGATAAGCATACCTGATTTTCATTCCAGAGAATTTGAAAAGATGAGCCAGTACCAACTGCTGCATGCTTGCCCCATGAGGATGATGAGACCACACATCCCAATGAATCAGAATCGCATTTTTCTGCAGCCTTCTCAAAGCATTTCATAGGGGTCTACAAAAACAGAATATGTTATTTGAGTACAAAGCGCCAATGACATGTAAGAAATTATGGACAAGATATTTCAAGTACAAACTTACAAACAAAGTGGACTCAGTGAAAGGTACTTGAACTTTTAACGAACGGAAAGTTGCCTTGTAGCCAGCAATGTTGAACCCAATCAAACTTCCAGTGCACGTCATGCTGTTTGCCACAAGTATCAAATGGTCCTTGAGAACTCCTTTATTAACCATTTTTACAGTCGTTGAAAGCCGCTGAACAAATAAGCAAGCATAAGAACATCAATGCAAATGATGCAGGATGAATAAGAAAAGTACTCTCACTGTAATAAGTATTATACAACACGAGCCAACTGGATGCAAAATAAAATGCTGAGTCACGACACACCTCAGAATATCTAATTAACCCAATCAAACTAGAATAGACAATGATCCTAAACAAGGCAAGATCTACCAATCCCCAGAAGTCCTTGGGTGGGGAATAAATGTCCCTGTGGTGTTGTTGCAGTCAAAACTGCTGACTTAACCATTAATATTAAAACATGCTTGGTTGACAAACCTGCACAACTTGATCGAAGGCACATGAGATGCCAATAAGTTCCCTCACTTGCTGAATGCCATATGGAATAGACCTCCGTGTGTCAATGAGGTCAAGTACAGGTAAGCAGGCATCAATTGTTGTTCTCCAGGCATCACCAATGCTTACAGCATCATCTTTTTCAACAATGATTTCTAACGCCGGCTCACCCTTTGATACCTTCCGTGTGTTTTTTACCCAAGAGGTTGCATCTGATTCAACCCAGATAACTTTTGCCGCTTGAATTCGAGGATCACCTGCAGAACAAATGAACACCAAACCATTAAGATGGTCAATTCCCTTCATTAGGGAGCACCTAATGGTGAATTTAGGATCATCAATGAGTTGACAAAAGAACATGTACGACCTCAAGCGTAAAAAAATAGTAAAACCCATAATAGTGTAACATTTTAGTCACAGCTACCTTGCAGATAGTGAATGTAATATTTTTCCTGATAAACTCAAAGGTGCCAGGAAGTAAATATTTTGATATAAGTCCAAATGTGTATCATCCACATTCACTATATTAATTTTAATATAGAGAAAGATTGACTATTATATCAGCAAAATGGAAAACATCTATTTGGTAGATGGGCGCATATACATCTCATGCGAATACTGAAGTATGTTCAGTGTATCTGAGTTGATAAATACAGAGTAGGCATCAGAAGCCAAAGTTCTGCTGAGATCAGAACTCATAGTACTACGTTCTGACAAGAAAAAACAAGTGTTTCTGCTGCATAACACTCTAGACAAATTCTGCCCAGTTTGTCGATTCTGCCTGCTGCCTGCATACCCCCCCCATAAGTCATAAACATGAACTGGGCCTAAGGATAAAAGCCAAGGTTCTAAACGCTAGAAATGGGGGCCACAGGACTAGAAATAAAGATCCTGTCTATTGGAAACAATTTCCCTTCAGCCAAGATAGTTATTTATGGAGATACAAGACCAAGCTGATGTCCAACCAATGATCCCGCATCAGCAGAAATAAGGAACCATGGTCCATTGGGAATGATGAGAGTTCAACCAAGATAAGCTTAATGTCTTGCCATCACAGGTATCCACTGTACAACCTCCCTACTCTACATATGTGCCACTATTGTGAAATAAAAAATAGGCCCGCAGCAGTCCTCTCAATAAGATAGGAACAGTAAACTTTTATTTGAATGGATTAAGTGAAATTTGAAGCTATCCAGTAAATGAAATTATAAAGGAAGAAGCTTAGTTTGTACAACTCACTATACCTTTAATAATTGTATCTAAAAGCACTGAGCAGACAGAGTCAGCTATCACATTCACCGCTCTCTCAACAGACTCAGATAATACAGTGTTGTCATCAGAGAAAGAGAACTGCACACATGGAACCTTATGTAGCTTTCCATCGATTGGCATCTGAGTGAATGAACAATCACTGCAAAGGATTAAATTGAAACCTTTTAGATCAACTATAACTAATGTAAATAATGTAAGGATCAAGTCAGATAAACAGCAATGAGTCATTAAAAAAGTTACAGTGAAAAGACAGTAATACTTATAGATATAACAATATATTGATTCCCAATGCGCATGTCCCCAGACAAAAACCCTGACAATACATTAACTAACACTGCCTCCCTTCTTCGTATTAACTCTTTGATACAAACAACATCAAGCCCACTCATTAAACGTACTAGGAAGCAAATAACATTAATAAATGTATAATGCAACTAGCAAAAGATGATTCCTTTCAAATTTAAGCATAACTTAAGCTGATAAGCATGCCCTTGTAATGCTACAGAATAGACAAACTCACACCCAACAAACAAAAGGCAAAGGAAATGTCCAATTTTCATGCTGTTAACACTAAGTTGCTATTGTATCACTTCCCCTTTCTTTCATGTCAGCTGTAGTCTAGCGAATCCATTAGAGTTTTGATCTCTTTGTCGGCTTGTCCAAAAATGAGATGGCTCTAGTTTGCAAGGCAGACTGAAATTATTTTTGATCTCGTGTACTACAAGAGCATACCTTTCTAGCTTTATTATATGTCCATTCTACAACACTGAAAATTTGAATTTAGGCCTCCATGTGGGACTTGGTAACAAATCTGAAGTAGGATCGCACCTCTCATCAAGAACATGTTCCCTCCCTCCCTCCCCCAATGCTAGGCCTCCAACTCAGGACCCTTGACTATGATACCCCCAATGAGTTTCATGGACTAAAAAGTTTGCCCAGAAGATTAATCTGACAAAATTTGGTAGCACTGCAGCTGTGCAGCATCGCCAACATCGATAGCAGGTAGCCTGGTACTAACACTATAACCGGAGGCATATCTAAACAAATCATGTATGTGATATTTAGGGTTGAACAAATGAAAGCTCACAGGATTATAGTAGGAAACTAAGAAAAGGTTACCCAGTAGCAAAAGTAATTTTTTTTAAGAGGTGGCAAAGGTGTCCTTTCTTCTTTCCATATCTCCCAGAAACTTCTTGGCATTTTTGGAGAATGTCTTGAATACTAATGTTTATCCTTTCTAAATGTCCCTGCAAAAAAAGTTATGCATATTTTTTTACAGAAACAGTTTATGCAAAAAAAAGCCAGTATAAATCATATACCATTATACCTTGTCCAGATGAATATGGCCTACAAGAGTTGGGGCAGCTTCAGATGTTCCATCTAAATTTATTTGCTTCTGATGCCTGAAAATGCAAACAACATATTTGTGGTTAACCCCAACGAAATAAGCACAAAATCTGCACAAAAGCATCCTGCATCTATTCTCACTTTAAGAATGGTCAGACCATGCATTTAACCACTTTGATTAGAAAGCTTGCTAAGTTTTCTCATAACAATTGCTGCTTCGGTAAGTAGGCATGTCTGACCCAATTGCAGATGTAAACAACCAAGTGCTAAACTGATCTGTCAACTTGCATAGCATTGCACAATCTGACAGGGAAATCAGATGACTAAGGAAGCTCAAAAATGCTGCTTACACAAACATGGAAAATAAGCATCTAATTCCAAGGAACGTGAATATATGATCATTAAACGATCAAACAGAAAGGATAATCAGAGTTTATCTAGAGAAAAACTGGTTAACTGGCTTTTACTAGCCATAAGACGGGATCTCAGAGCAATCCACAAAAAGAAGGGGGCAAGGTGGCAGTGATATTTGAGGATTTCATTTATGGTAACTTACTCAATGCAGATGTCAGTAGCACAATCCCCAAGTGTGACTCTCTTAAGACAACTCTGTACTGCAAGTGCAGCCCTTTCCTTGCAGAACTTCTTAGCACAAGAGCAGTCACTCAGGAACAGGACAACTTTCCTATCTTTCACATCGTTGTTATAGGAAGTTCTTGTCTGAAGAATTTCCTGTTATGGTAATAATAAAATAAACTTGTTAAACAGTAACAACAAGGCCCCTTGATTAAATGCCAAGAAATATTTATAACGTTACTACCTTCATTGACTCCCAAGAAGCATTGTTACTTTGGGAGGAATCCAAGACAGCCTTGTATGCAGGGTTTGAGATAGCTGTGGCAGCTAAGACACCCACAGGTTCACCAGGAGGTACAGCACTTGAAGAATCAGCTTCATCATCTTCCCCATACTTAAGTTGAATGACGGAATTGCTACAAATGTTTCTCACAGTTCCATCATAACATATAACTACATCCCTCAAGATGGCCATTAAATTCTTAAACAAAGTTCCAGGTTCTGACAGCCCTCTAGATGAGCGGATCATAGTTTCTCTAGTACATATAGCATGTACCAGCTCTTCATACGGATTCAGACCATGAAAATATGAACTTTGCACGAGGCCAAAAGCTTCTGGAGGATACTCATCTCCAATGGCTGAGTGTTTATTCACAAAGTTCGAAAAGCAGTCCTCTACCAAGCGCCTTGAATACAACTTACCTTCGCGGTAAAGTTGCAAGCCAACAAAACCAACTTGTTGTACTACTTTTGCCATTGAGGCTTCCTTTTTCGGATCAATAAGCAACCCAAGGTCAGAGAATTTTCCAACATATTCCGAAATCTGTTGCTTGACACTTTTCAAATTGTTTTCGACTCGTAATTCTACGAATTGACTTGTTGAACACCTTGACTGCTCAAGAATAAGGGACTGATTCTGAATGTCCTTTTGTGCTTCCTCCAATAGAGCCTTGGGAACATTAAAATCCCGCAGGCTTATACTCAAACCGTCGAGAAGTAAAAACTCCATCAACAATGGCTCCAGCACATTCAGAAATTGCAGAGCCTCTCTTGGACCCTTCTCACGAAGGATGGAGGACACCAAATCTGGGAATGAGTCCTGAACAGATTCTTTGTCAAGATCCAGCTTTATGATTGTGCTGTCCCTAACCAAGTGTGTGTCCCCTTGGCAAGTCAATTTAGCTGGTAACGCACCTTGCACTATCTGTGTGATTGTCCAAGACGGAATTGGCTTCATTACGGAAGGGGACAGAAGTGAAAATGGCACAAACATTGCCAGCTGGTTTGCTAGTTCCTTGTGTAACATCGTTCTGTGAGACATGAACTTCATAGCTACCAAACAGTCGTTACCTAGCTGGAGGTTAACCTTCCCACTGTGGGAACTAATCAGTTGTCTCTCAACACTAAAAAGCTCCAAGGCTTCAGCTTTTGCAGCAAGCGATTGCGGATAATATATATGCACGCAATCACCATCAAAGTCAGCAGAAAAGGGGCCACACATGAGAGGATTGATTTTCACCGTATGATCATCATGCACATATGCGTAGAAAGCTTGAAGAGAATGCTTATGTGTGCTGGGCGGCCTATTGAGGAACACAACATCCCCATCAACAATTCTCCTACTGATAGTTTGACCAACTTTAAGTGTTGTATGCCCTTTTGATCCAACAGTTATGGCATATGTTGCTTGACCATCTCTGTAGGTCAAGCAGAGTCCCTTGTCTACCACCTCTTGCAGTCTGTTAATGTTTATGTCAGTGACCTGTTCTTCAAAGGTCATCCTCTTAGCAACTTCAGAAGGAAGCCCTACTACACCTAGCCCAATATATGGGTCTCCTGTCAGAACGCTGCGAGATGAAAAACCTGACCCTTTGCTGATAAACAGCGTCCGCATCTTTTCTAACCACTGTTTTGTTGACAATGCAGCTGAATCAGCACTGCCAACAGTAAACCGCTTGGTGTTGTCTTGAGGGCCCTTCAAAATAAGATGCAAAAGTTATCGTGGAGAATACAAAAAACAACTCAGTCAGAAATAAAAAGATTGATCAGAAATAAATGCCAGTGTGCACTATATAATAGATCAAAGCACAATAAGGTACTGCAAAGGTGCAGGGCTTTCTGTAATTCTAGTGGTTATAAACAAATTGTGACTGTGTTTTCCATGCACCATGTAAACAGGTTTAAATTATCTAGTTTTCCACATACCCTTGTAGTGCCCCTTAGACGTATGTACTGGCCAATCGCAAGCTGCAAATCGCATGATTCAAGATCATGTGATTCAAAGTTTGGGGAACCAGATCTTGATCTTTTAATTTGTTCTATCTTCTGAAGAACCTTCTTCAACAAAGCTATTGAAATGTCCTGATATGAGAAGCAAGTAAATCAGGACATTAGATAGGACTCGACAAGAAGTAGAAGAAGAAACTACCAGATACGTGTACTAGAAAACTCACATATGACATGATGCTCTGCCCATCGGTGAACTCTGGAATATATAGACAGTTCGGAGGTACCGGAAGGTACTTCATCACATACCCAGTCTGAACAATGTATCCCCGTGCAGCTAGCTTTCTCCTAGTATCATCAGGAACCTTCTTCAATATATTCAGAGCCTAATAAATAATGATGAATCAGTGGGTTATTCAAACAACCTGGAATTCATCAAAGCTACCAAAACAAATCTCTTGAAAACATAACTCATGACTCATGAGAATATCACCTCTTCTGGAAGCAGTGTCCTAACTTGAGAACATCCACCATGATGAAATCCATATTTATCAAGAAAGTTCCATGAACGTTCTGTCATGTGTCTCTTATGAGGTGCTCTCAACTCTAAACGAATCCAACCATCTGCTGTCTTGACTTCCTTCACAGACAGAGCTGGAATATCCTATAAACAACAAGTTCTGGGATGATCAGGAAACATGAGTGGACACTCATCCAGCCAACACAGGTTTAGTGTCAGCACTGGCACCAGACCAGCAGCAAGCAAGGATGCAAATTAGGAAGCCATCCACTAATGAACAAGGACATATGACTGAATTCAATGCTAATGCTATATTTGTCAGCTATACTGAAGTCACTTATGAAGGATATATTACCAGATTAGTTGCATTTTAATAAATTTCAGTGTGAAATGACACCTCCCTAAAGCACTGACTCAGTATATCCTGTTATATCTTCATTGTCTTAAATAACAATTCATGAATCATTCAGACCACAGAGGAAGGTGGTTGAATTTGAAACACCGGTATACTTTATTTTAGCTTAGGCATTTACTTCCATATCCCTACATATAACAGTAACTAGTCCAATGTATCTATTTACTCTTACTTCAAGCCACAAGAAAAAAGAAGAATGCTGGCATGTACCCGGCAATAAGAGCACAATGTTGCTGACACATTTCCTTTTCCATTACTTTGTTTCACCTTCAAAGGTAGAAAAGATTTCATAAATAGTAACCCAAGGTGAAGCATCAGTGTAAAAACACATATGGTTGGTTCAGGAAAACCAGTATAGGAAAACAACAAAGTAAGGTTATGCAGTTGGGTTTACAAGTACCTTCCCTTTCTTGATTCGAAGGCATTTCAGACATATCAAGCTCAATAGTTGCCTCAGTTCACTGACATGGCAGGGATGGTATATGGGTACAGGTAGCTCAATGTACCCAAAATGCCCTACATATGCAGAGAAACTTAATTGTTAACAAAGGAAAAAAGGTGTCCTCGCTAAGTCGCTCTCTAGAGCACAATGTATGAAAGTGTTACGAACAAAAAACCAGTGTGTACCTTCGCATTTGTCATTTTCAGACGCCCCACATGATTCACATTTCCCAGCTTCAAGGGGCAACCCAAGGAATGGATTTCCAAGCTGGCTAGGGTGGGTTACTGGACACTCGTTTACTGAGTATGTGCACTTCAGAAACCCAAAAAAAATTAGTCATCATTGGAGAAAAAGCATCTCGGTATGCTAGAATTACTGGTAAAAGCATCAGATTTGTAGAACTTACTATCTCTTCTCCGGTAGAGAGGCTAAGTTTGATGCTTTTAATAGCACCTTCAGAGACTAGTATCGCCAAGTGATCCTCCTCCATTTCTCTGCAACCAACGAATGGATAAAAGGTGTCAGGTACACAGTTCGCAAGACAGAGAAAAAGGTAGCAAGAAAACCAACAATGAACAAACTAACGGCCTGTTTGGAACTACTTATATAAGAATTGATTAAAATCTAATCTAAATTTGTAAATAATCTGCAGTCAAAAAAATCTACAGTACATAAAATCAAAGTGTTTGGCAATCCTGATTATTATGTTGATTTTAAGTGTAAAAAGACCTTTGTGCCCTCTTTCCCAAACCACCATCCGTTATACTCCCCTTATTCTCCGTTGTTCGGCAACTTTCCACCGCTCCTAGATCCTCGCTCCCTCGCCACTCCTAGACCCGAGCTCCCACACTCCCTCGCCGGACACCACACAGCCACCTCCCTCGCCGCCACGGACGCCTCCCGTGCGAAACCCGCCACCTCCATGCTCCTCCCCAGGGCTGAGCAGGTACAAAAAAGTGCTGGCCAACCGTGTTGGCAACTGGCAGTCAGAAGACTTTGGCAAGCGATGTTTGGTAGTACCATGGTGGTTCTTAAAGATTTTCTTGAGGGCAGTAGCTCTTAAAGCTCATATGCTAACTTAAATAATAAAATAACATCATGCATATGATCTAGTACTGCATACATGAGGGTAAACAATTAAAAACAAAGACAATGAAGGAAAATGATATGACAAATGACACATTTCGCTGCTCTTGGGATAATATATTGTAATACAAGTATATTATACCCAACAAGCAAGAAGGCATAAGCACAGAAGTGATGTTTACCATACAGTTCAAAGTAAAGATGCTCACTTCTCTGCTTACAAAGAGTCATATGAATTCCCTAAAGCCTTAAATTGTAAATAAAGTATTAACTCACAACTAACATTCTCCAAACAGATTGCAGAGAAACACATAAAGTGTAAACTGCAAAAATACTCATAATTAACCTATCTATGTAGCATATGCATGGAATGGAAAGTATTGTAAATTCAACGGTGCCAGATTTTTTGCTCTGAAACCAAGAAATTAAATGACATCTACGACCTGCTTATCAAGACTGCTATCAGGAATGTCCTGTGAGACGCCAAAACCAAATGAGTATGCTAGACTTTCAGTCACAGGCTTCCATGTAATACCGAAGCCATCTTTTACAAGAAAACAGTGCTTAAGGTTACTCAGTTGCGTAAGAGAACGAGGCAACTTCACGAGATAGGGTGAAAAGAAAGACAGCCAAACAACCAGCTGGCTATTTTAGAGGACAAGTGTACGAGGTTAAAACGTAAAGGAAAAAATAATGCATGTCACATTCACATGAGATGTAAGAGTACTGAAATTGGTGTTAGTTGAACAGGATGGCATGTAACAAGACACTAAATTTGATTTCAAAGGACTTGACATGGAAGTCAAGTATCAATCACATCACATCTTTTCAAGTTAATGTAGTCATTGCTACAAAGTGATTTGCCAGGTCCTTTGGAGCTCATGCTATGCAATTACAACTGGCATGGACAATTTATATGTTGTGGACAACATCATCAGCAAGATCTACTCACGTCGCAAGAAGCAATAGCAGGCGCCCACCAGTGGCTAACCTTGTCCTAGTTGAGAGTTTGTTCAAGTTTGTTTGAGCTCATTGCTTAAGTTGAGAAGAAATAGCAATTTGTTAATCAATGTTGTAACAGCTGACTGTATATAACAGAGTATGGCAGATTCATTTGGTTTAAGCAGAAATAAACATAAAAACTAAGAGCCTCTTCAGAGGGTGAGTCCAGTCTATCTCTGCCTGTACTACTCCGTACTCTATCCACAAACAGTAAGTACACTTACCTAAAAAGCCACAATAACAGTGTACTAAGAGAAATCACAAATCACAGTCATGGAGAAAACAAATAGGCGAGTGACCACGGACTAAGCATGCACATGTATACACACAAATGGTCATTGACTGGCAAGATAAACCAATGCCAAGGCAAATCCAGCAAAACCCAGTGTTTAACTACTCTAGCAACCTGTTGAAAAAGATGGTTGAGATGCTAAGGATCATACAGTAGGAAACCCCGCTAGGAAACAGGGTCACGTCAGTATGGTTTCTTTTATCCTATCAGTTACTCCCTCTGTTCCAAATTATAGGTCATTTTGACTTTTTTGGTTCATCCACCCAAAAAGTCAAAGCGACTTATAATTTGGAACGGGAGTATTTTTCTAGTTTTACTCATAGCTGACAATCTACATGCACAGATGTGCTAGCCTATGGCGACGGCAATTGCTCTAAGAACAAATACTGCTTAACGAAATCCCCAGAGCCTGAGGACATTTTGATAGGACCCATTAATTCAACAACGAAACTTCACAAAGAGGCACTTTACTGTCATTCAAACAACAAGACGACTACACAAATAGCTTGTGCCAGGACAAGTGGAAATGCAGGAGCTTATCAGCACAACTGACCTCGCCGGATGCACAAAACTCCCACTCCCCGCTCCTCAGCAAACCCGAGGCAGAAATCAAGCGGAGCCTCGCCATGCGGATCTCGCCATCTCCCCGCCTCCTCCCTGGACCCGACGCGAGCGGGAGATCAGGCGGAGCAAGCGTGGCGCTTGCCGGCAGAGAGCTGCTCGCGGTGCAGGATTATGCGGTTGTAGTAGAAAGGGCCGATTGTTTTCCCAGCTGCGGTCAAATAAATCGAGAAATAATCAAACAAACGACACATGGACGAGGATGACGCATCCCACTGAGCTCAAGCGAAACGCCTCCAAATCAAAGCGATCAATCTCCCAGCACCATAAACATGCGCTGCACCGCCCTCAATAATCATTTCCCCCCAAGAAAAAAGAAACCCATCAAAACCCTCGACAAAGGGGCAAAAGCCACACCGCCGCGGCGCCACCAGAACCCCCATTCCCAGGGACGGCTCGCGTGACGCGTCAATCCCCGATCGCCGGAAGACGGAGCCCCACCCGCATTGCACGGACACGGCCGCAGCCCTTCCCGTGGGCCCAATCAAACCCGCCACTTACCAGTACGCGCCGGCGAAGACCCCCGTCTCGGCGGCGTCCGCCGCCCGTCTCCTTGGCCGCCGTGACCCTCCCGTCGCGGTCGCGCTAAAACCCTAGCGCGCGCGTGGGGAGGGAGGGTTTTTGCTCCGCCTCGGAGAACACGAGGAGACGGTCACTGTGCGCGTGTGAGAAGGGGGAGAGGGGACAGGGGACAGGGGAGGGAGGGAGGCGGAGGAGGTGGAAGAAGACGACGGGTCAGCCGAGGCCGAGGCGCACCGGTGCTCTCGGTCACAAAAGGAGAGGCGGGGTGAGCAGGTGAAGGGTGGTGGTGACTGGTGAGCCCAGCTGCGTGACTGGCGCGGCGAACGTTGTGCGTTCCACTGACTGGTGGGGAAACCTGATGGCTGGACCTACCTGGCAGACGGGTGGGTGGAAGGGGCGACGTGGGTAACGGCGGCTGATTCGCCCCCTCCGCCGTCGGGAACCGTGACCAGCTGACTGGAGAGTGGGGGCGAGCATTGATGCCGCGAAATGACACTTTTCTATGCTGTGTGTTCCAGCGGACTGGCTGTGTGCCCCCGCCCCCCATCCGCCAATGGCCCTCTTCTACCGGTGATATTTCGGCTGTGATATTTAGGCTAATTTAACAGTGTTTTCGTGAGAGGAAATAAGCTGAAATAAGCATAAATCGGCTGAAAAGTAGATGAGCAGAATATGGTGATTGATTGGGGAAAATTTAGTAACTAAAGTGAGGTCGCGACAAGACCGTTGATGGCGGGTTGAAGGACAGCGAGCGAGACGGCGGGGGACAATCGGACGGACGGGGCTGACAGCGGGGATGTCACGACGGTGCTCGGCGGCGAGGTGCTGTGATTAGGGTGGGCGGGGTCAATGGGTCGGGGTGGGTAGCGAAGCGGCTCGCCGGTGGCCGTAGGTGGTGGGGACGGAGGCGGAGACGGAGGCGGGGGTGGGGCGAGGACACGGCGATGGAAGATCGCGGCAGAGGTTAGGGGAGGGCGGGGTCGAGGGACGCTGGTGGGAGGTGGGCGGCGTGGCCGTCGGCAAGGCAGTCGCAGTCGAGGGCAGCGGGGAAGGAGACGGGAGTGGGAGAGGCAAGGCGTGCCGGACGGTGGAAAGAGTCACATCTCAAGGAAGAAGACGTGCGGAGCCAGTCACGCGCTTCGCGCACTCCTAGCGCGCAACAGGTCGTGCAATAACTCTGCCCATATTGATTATTTTCAATAAAAAAAAGATTTGATATGAAGACCTTAACATCACGCGAGCGCGCAACAAGTCGCGCAATAACTATGCCCATATTGATTATTTTCAATAAAGACAAGATTTGATATGAAGACCTTAACGTCACGTGCTTCGCGCTCACAGAGCGCGCAACAGGTCGCGCAATATAACTCTGCCCATATTGATTATTTTCAATAAAGAGAAGATTTGACAATGAATACCTTATCTAGGCCATTGACACCCAGGATAGTCTAATAAGTACTCAGCTGTCCTCGTGAGATTATAGAAAAAGAAATAATCCATCTCTTCTATCTATAATATAGTGCATTCTAAAAAATTTATGACGTATTAATAGAGAACATAAAAGATGCATGACTATTCACTTTATTTCTTAATCATATGCTATCATCAACATGATTAATAGTGATTAATTAATAAATAGAACGTATTTAATGCAAAATTGTTTTCACGTAGAATCCATTATGTTTCATGCAAATTTTGAAGGCTAGAATGCGGTATATTAGATGAAAGGGGGTGTATCTATGTTATAAAAACATAACCTTTGATCTAAAATTTCGTCAACTCTAAGACCTAGCAACTTAATGTTTTTGAGAATGCTCGTAGAGATAGTTTTACGTTTGTGTTCATATAAGGTGAAGAAAGGTGCGTGTTTGCTAGTGTCGGTGGTTTGTCTGTGGTGTGGCACAGGGATGGCATCTACTTCGAGACGGCTGTCCCTTCGGTCCTTGCAGACTGAGTAGGCGTGCCTG